GGGAGCACCGCTGCAGGAGCCGGGAGCCAGAGCCACTCCCATGCCGCGAGCCACGCCACCCCTGGTCTGTCTGAGCACTGAGAGGAACCTCTCCGGTGGAGATGAAAACCTCAGTCATCACAAGTAGGTGCCCGCCCTCCTCATTCCCTCTTCCCCCAATGCAGGGGCAATGACATTGAGTCTCAGACTTCATTCAAAACCCCACCTGAGAGGTCTCTTAGGGCACCCTGGGCACTCAGGGGTGGGAGGCAGGTACAGAGCCCAGCTAAACTGCCAGCTGCTGCTAACCTTCCCGGTGAACCAGGCTCAGGGACAAACTTGAGAAACACTTTTCACACTCTCTGGAAACACTGTTGTTTTAGTAGCTCAAATCTTAAAGCCTGCAAAGCACACCAGAGTTTGGCTCCTTAAGCAAATGTGTAACCAATAGCAAAATGGGGGTTCTGATGTTTTCCCGAAAACAAAGGAATAATCTCAGGTCTTAGAACTGGTAGTGCAGACACACAGTCATCAGTAAAGCTTGTTCAAACGCAACCCAAAATGACATGCATTTCAAAAATGCACTCAGGTGCTTTCCTAGCCGATGACACCTCAGTCTCGTCCACAGCCACAGTTTAGAAAACCAAAAGGAAAGGACCAAGGCTTACCTGGCCCATGCTGGAGGTCAGCTTCTAGTCCAAGCAGAAGAAAGCCAGGCACAGTCCAGTTTTGGGCAGCCAGGTTTCACAGGTGGGTACCCGGCAGCAATCTAAGAAGCAGGTGCTCCGCGTCCCTGGGGACCAGCAGCGCTGCCTGGGAGCAGGCTCACCTCTCCGCCACAGTTTCACTTCCTTTCTGCTTTAAAGGGCCTCCCGGGAACTTTTCCTTGACTGCTCTCTGTCTTGTCTGCGAGTTTGGAAACTCAGTCCTGGCCTAGGGGCTTTCCCTCACTGTAAACTCACCTGCACCATCTAGAGGCCTCTCCCTGCACTGGCGATGCTGGAGCCTGGGCGCTCTGCCCGCTAGCCACAGCCCCCACACACCTGGCTCTCCCGCACTCCTGCCCCTTCACAAGTCCAGGGGAATGTGTGAAAACCACTGCATTTTTTTTGAAGGTGGGGGGTCTTTCTTCTACTGGAACAACCAGAGCATTTTGGCATGGGAGTTCTAAAAAGCTAAATTAGCATTAAAATATCATTAACCAAAACTTGTTCAGGAGGACCCCCCACAGAGAAGGCTGCAGGCGTGGGTGCTGGTGCCTTGGTTCAGCTTCCAACGTGTTTGCACACATCCCCCCATCCACCTGCACGGCCACCACAGGATTTGAGTCACCAGGACTGCTCTTCCTCTCCTCTGCCCGGACATCCTGCACCACCACCATATACCTCAGGTGACTCCACGTGACCACATACCCCACAGAGCTCCAGTTAACCAAACACACCCCATAGAATTCCAGACTGTATAGAACTCCAGATGAGTGTGCACAGCCCATAGAACTCCAGACCCCACAGAACTCCAGATCAGTACACATACCCC